GCTGTTAGCTAGGAGTCCCTAATGAAGCAGGTCATACCTGCTGTTAGCTAGGAGTCCCTAATGAAGCAGGTCATACCTGCTGTTAGCTAGGAGTCCCTAATGAAGCAGGTCATACCTGCTGTTAGCTAGGTGTCCCTAATGAAGCAGGTCATACCTGCCGTTAGCTAGGTGTCCCTAATGAAGCAGGTCATACCTGCTGTTAGCTAGGTGTCCCTAATAAATTGGCCACTAAGCATTTGTTTTCCTCTGGATTTACAAAAGCAGACAAGTCATGCACCCCGTGCTTCTCAGTGCTGTGCAGTTTTGGTTCTTATTCCCCCAGTTAGGCTGCTGCATATTTCAGCTGGCAGGTGATACTCCCGGCTGTCCAAAATGCAGCATCGCTGAGCTGGTAGCTGAGCTGGCCTTTGTGTGCCAGCACGAGCCAATATATACGCGTTTGGATGCCCTGTCGTGTACTAGTGTTAAGCACAACATCTCCTGCTGTGTGCCTTTGGGGGGGGAGGTGGTCCCGGGGGATTGCGAGCGCATTTGGATCAGTGGATATTTGAAAGTGGATGGATGAGAAAGATCCAGAAACAAACGGCCCTTTCATCATCGTGCGGTTCAGTGTCGTGCATCTGGTTATATTTCACTGTTTGCTATATTTGCGTTCCTGCTGTTTGCAATGCAGCCAGTGCAGTTCCACGTCCGACCATAGGGGGCAGCGATGCTCTTGTCCGGGGCTGGTTAACATACCCCAATAAAAGCATATTCACTGAGTTGCACTCTCCAACACAATCTCCTAATGGCAGTGTACGTTTACACCTCCTCCGCTGCACCACGGTGCTGCCACATCATTATAAATGGCCCCTCCCACTATAAGTACAGTGTTTTTCAATTGGTGTTTAGTGATTCAGGGAGGAGCTTGAGGAGGAAAGCTACTCTATACGCGTTAAAGGATGTACATTCCTCCCTAACCTGATTCTTTCCAAAACTGTAGACTTCCCAGTTCACAGGTCAGCATTCGGACGGACCAAAGGCACTGATGATGCTGGTTAGCAGGGCTGGAGAAGCAACTGTCCTTCCTCTCATCTCCTGGCATGTTTATTTCAATGCTCTTGATCAGGCTGCTCTCAGACATTCATAGACGGTTAACGAGCTGGGGCCCATTGCTGCAGTCAGCCATTTCCAGCGCTGCCCCTGGTGCCCGTTCACTATCGCTGCCCCTGGTGCCCGTTCACTATCGCTGCCCCTGGTGCCCGTTCACTATCGCTGCCCCTGGTGCCCGTTCACTATCGCTGCCCCTGGTGCCCGTTCACTATCGCTGCCCCTGGTGCCCGTTCACTATCGCTGCCCCTGGTGCCCGTTCACTTTCAGTAGGCGGCACCAGCACGTGCGAATAATGCATGGTGGGAATGCTTGTATTTTTTTTCCCTAGAAAAATCTTAGAATCCTTTTCTGTATAAAATAACCCCATTTATTTCAGCCCAGTGTCAATGTCACCTGACTCTCTACCAAGAAGAGGCTCGCATTCAAGTCGTTTGCCGGCCACGCCGTTTTGCGAGCCTCGCAGGCAGATAAAAGGCCCTTCGCATGCTCGCACACATGCGCGCACGCGCTCTGAGGAGGACATCAAAAGCCTGCATCCCCTGAACGCGGAGGCCAGGTCTTTGATCTTCCTCTGGCAGCTGTGATTAGCTCCAAGACGTACAGTCTGAGCCTTTGGGAGTGGGCGGGGTCGGAAGCCCATATGTTGCCGTGCCGACTTCCCTCATCCTGTTGCTAATCACACGCTTTGTCTGGGAGCCTCGGTAGCGAGGGGCGGCGAGGAAGCGACTATCCCCTACCGACATGGCGGGACCGAGAGCCACAGCTCCGTCGCTGACACCGTCCCGAAAACCCACCAAGCAGAATTAGACTAAACCACGGGGGAACGGACACACTGTAACAATCAACAAGGGCGACACTTTCCTCGCGGTTTTTACATTTACAAAATACACGCGCCAGACTGTTAACTTTAAAAAACCTACAGCCTCAATGTCAATCACGATCTTGCATTCCCGATACTATTTATAGTTAATTCCATACACATCGACTGATTAAAATACTAAATCCAGCAAGAAAATAACTTTTAAGCATTAATTTTGACAGAATAATTAGCTAAAATAATACAAATCTGTCCATCCATCCATTTTCGAACCGCTAATCCGTGTCAGCATGGGCCCTGGACTCTACCCCAGCCAGCGCAGAACATTTAAAAGGCTTAAAATAAGACAAATGTGGGAGAGATTTTGAAAGGAGTTTCCTTTAAGTCAGTATTAACTAGGGCACAACATAAATGCCTGATTTCTATATGAAAATGCTCCATTCTCAAAAAATAACTGAGATGTCCACAATAAAGGTGCAGGGGAGGTTAATTCCTGCCGGGAACCAATAAACACTTTGAAAATCACAGCCTGACCAATCAGCACTATTTACACCATTTTACACTTTTATCTGTATTTCAGCCAAACACAACCCATTACAGACCATTTAGAGGAAATTTATATGGATTTTAATACAAAGGCTGATTGGGAAGAAAATTAAGAGAATCCACATGAAACCCCTTGATATCCACCTGATTTGTTGGGGCTGGGATCACCAGCCATTGAGCTTGATTGATGAACCCCGTTGCCAAGGGCAACAGCCAATAGAAGGTCAGCAAGGTCACATCAAATGGTTTTCCCCAAAAACTGTTCTTTCCAAAATATAACAACAAATAAATAAATATGCACACTAAGGGGCACAAGGGGGATAAATCTTCAAGAGTACCAGGATTGGATTCAAAATAAAAAATGGTGAGAGTATCAAGGGAATATGGTATACTGTACCAGAGTAATTCATCCATGCAATGTCCATTTTAATCACAAGGACATTACCGATGCATCTGAAGAAGAAAAAACCAACCCACTGAAAAAGCTGTTTTTATGGATGGTAGTAAAATTAGGAAGCAAACTTATTATTGGGGAAAAAATCTTTATTGTGTGTGTGTGTGTATATATATATATATGGTTGCTGAGGGGTGGGGCTTGCACAACCAAGTGAGGCTGATCTTTAACACGGACACGTCCGCAGCCACCAAAGACCCAGCGAACCAGCAGCGTCCTGCATGAAAACCCCCCCTCTCAAGGACCCGGGGCCCCTGCCCGTCAGCGGGGGGGTTGGGAGCCCGTGTCCTGTCCTCACTAGGACCATCAATTAAACTGCAAGACTGCCCCCAAACCCCCCCCCCCCCCAATATTGCACAGGAAACGTGGAGAAGCAGAGCATATTTCTGCAGCACCTTTAGAAGAGGAAATCCATATTTAATTCACTAGCAACCCACCTCCCCCCAAAAAATGTTCTAAGTGCTCCTGCAAGGAGGTTCAAGCTGAGGATCTTTTCCAGGATGGGGGGGGGATGCATTTTTCATTTATTTTTCACTTCTTCCTCTCCGGGTTCTAAAAGCGGAACCGATTAAAAGGGTGGCAGCCCCAATGCCCCCCTCCCCAAGAGACAGGATGTGTCAGCCCGCATTAACTCCCATCAGCAGGGCGACCTCTGGCCATGTCATCACGGCGACCCGGGGCCGTAAACGGAGAGATAAACAAACCTCATCCACGGTGGGACTACGGGTCACATGGTACCATATACGGTCATGTTTACCTTTTAAGTACAAGCCCATCAGCCTATCCTCCGATTTCCATGTCATGCATATAAATGACCATATATACGTCATTCCACATCATTAATTTATTCATGCTATATTCCAAGACTCAACAATGACCCCAGAAAGATCGTAACGAGTGTCACTACTATTCCGTCCCATTCAGACTGCCTAATTTATAAAGCATAATAAAAAATGTTATTAATTTAATTAAAAGACAATAATGTGCACATGTCTGGACGTGGGTGACTAATAATCCATTAACCCCACACGTTATATTCCAAACTGTTCAGAATTCATCTAAAATGTAAGGCGTCAATGAATGTGTGCAACATTCTATAGTTAATAGTTATGCATTTTTATTCTCATTATTATACATATCAATAAAACATCAGTAGCAGTTGTAGTATTTGACTCAAGCAGGGGAACCAATATTAAGCACTATTATAGTTCTTTCTAACATTTTGTTACATTTATTTTAAAATTCAGATGCGTTTTTCTACGGCAATTGTCAGGAGTGTAGGGGAATACGGTATATTTTGAAAGCAGTGTTAACAAAAGGGAGTCAGTAATACACTTGTCACTTTCTGATTGCAATATTCCGGTGCACTTCTTGTGAAAGGTCACTGCAGCGTGCTTCAGCCGCAGCACGGCGAAAAGGGTCTTCTGCTTTATTTTCTGAGGAATACTGGGAGAAAAACAACCATTTTAAAGAATGTATTTAAAGTTTAACTATTCTATTTCAGCCCAGGACATCTAAGGAGAAATGCATTGGCTGTCATTGTGCGTTTCTGCTGTGCTTGTTTAGCGTTTTGTAAAATGAACGGCTTGTGAATCATGTGTTTTTTTTCTCTCTTTCCTTTCCATATCTCTCTGAATGACTGGAGCGAAGAGCAAAGTGTGGAACAGGGGATGGAAGGTCTGAGAATGATTGTGGGACCGGAACCATTGCAGATAAAGGAAAAACAGAGAAAGCCTGGCCAGGCGTTACGGCACATACACACACACACGCATGCACACAGCCACCTAAAAATGCTTGGGGTGTCACTGCGCAGAATGATGCAAATAAACCCTGGTTTCTGTGCAATATAAGGATTTATCTAAAGATGACGCTGATGTGGCTGTATTGAACACTATTTCAACAGCAGGAAACCAGAGATTTATAAACCTCACATTTAATTCTGACTGCACATGAATGATGAATTCACAAATTCTACTCCATTCCAAGCCATATTACTTGTCATGTCTACAAGGATGTGTGTACGTACGTACGTGTACACACACACACACACACACACACACACACACACACACACACACACACACACACACACACACACACACAAATCAATTTTGATAGAACACAAAGTATGTCTAAAGAAACAATGTACGAGTGGAGATCAGTGCATTGCAGGATGTTGAAACCACTAATAAATAAAAATTAAATAAAATGGTGATATAGACAAAATTCTAATGCTGAATCTAGCAAATACTAACAATGATACATTTTAATTTGTGGGCAAGTGAGGGAGTGTAAAGCAAGCAGAGGGAGATTAAATACATAACAACATGTTCTGAGTCAAAAAATAAAACCTGAATGCAAAATATTTCACAGAAATTAGCCACTGTGTTGCTTGTTGCTGTTCCACAAATGCAAACAAGAACATATTTATACTAGAGAGCCTGTTAACTAAACCAAATCATTTTAATACAGTTTTAATACAATGTGCAAGTTGTGTTCCAACATCGCACATTACATCAAAGTGAGGCTATTTTATCAACATTCCTGTCCATATGTTAAGCTGGTTCCTGATTTTCCTAATGTATCAGCATAAACATAATGCATTTATTTAAACCTTAAAGAAATGTAAGCATTTTGGCAGCCAGTTCAACCTTCGTTTGTAAACATGAGAAAACCACGTTACCAGATGTGTAAGTTCCCGTGAACTCCAGTACTAAATTGGCGCGAGTGAACGAAAGCCTGCGTACTCGACACAACTACTACATTTCCAGATCATGCGGAAGGACACACCCCCCTCAAATACACACGCAGACATACAGAGTGCACACAGCATGCCTCAAACTAATTGTAAAATAAAGAGAAAACACATTGATTAGCATAGAGACAGGTTTAATCTAATCAAGCGGCAAGTACAAATTAGGTAGTGTAAGTGTAATGAGTTGGGAATTAATTAGCAGCATAATGAGACTATGCGCATCCACCACCGACGCTGTGGCCAGTGGGCTCCCATAAGATGGTCCCGTACCTTCTCTTACCTCCTCTCTCTCCCTCACTCTCTCACTCACTCCATCTCACTGAGTCAGTCATTCCTCGTTCACATTCACAGAGGTACCCCGGACTGGAAAACAAGGGGCCTGATCTGGAGGGAGGGAGAGAGAGAGAGAGAGAGATGTATAGAAAAGACAGCATTCTCTGAAGATATGGTTGGCTGTATAATTAAAGAAATCCCACCTCCAAATACATACTTACACCTCCCCCACCCCACCCCAAGTCCCCAGATAACCCCTGACACACCAATTTGCCCAAATCCCACTTCATACAGGAAGCTTAGTCTGCCAGGGCTTATGTTTGACTGCTCTAAGATAATATATACACACACACACACACACACACACACACACACACACACAAAAGCACATACCCTATGTATAACGTTTTTAAAGGACAGAAAAATTCAGCCACTGCAATGCTACAACAGCCATTATATATTTTCTTTCAACAGAGCTGCCAGGATATTAACTGAAATGCCACAACTAACGGCGTTAGGCTACGCACACAAGAACGTGTCATCTTCACGACGCTCTCCTCTAAATTACACAATCAACACATCAAGCAAGACGTAGGTGGTGGTCAACAGCGGTCTAACACGGACTGTGAACAAGATCCAGGCTGTCCAGCGTGTGCTTATTTACAGCGATACGCACATGTATTTTATCTCGTATAAATAATACAGACCTCTGCTTGAAAGGGCTGGAGATATAAAGAAAGATGAAGCGGTCTTGGATCAAACGTTTTTTTTTGGTTTTTTTTTCCGGGTAGCAGGCCGGTTCACCTCGGGGGAACCAGGCCCAGCTCGGCGTGCTGAGCCGTAATGGCGGATTATTCACATCATTTAGCAAACGATCCCCTTGTACGACAAAGCAGACGTCGGTCCGTCAGCCCTCACTAAAAGGACGACGCGTTTTCCTTGCTTTCAGTGGTTTAGGGCGGTTCTACCGGGTTCCTTCTGCACGCACGCCCCTGGCTGGGCGCTATCGACGTAACTGGCGTTCTGATGTTGCGGCAGTCTTGTGTTACGTTTGCGCAGGAACCGCCGAAAGCGAGCATTACGGTCTGTAAATCGCGCTGATCGGCGCCGGTGCCGTTCTCCTCCCATTGTTTTAATTTAGCTACGTCGCATTACAGGTGTAAGGAGGCCTCTCTGCGCACGCGTCACGCATCGCGTTTCCTGTCATCTTCCCTGTGCTTGAAGGGTAACGGCTGTCGCCTTGGTCCGGTACTAAAATGAGCCCTCTAAAACACTCGTATTAATTAGACTTTATTTGTTCATGCAAATGAGTTTAATTAAAAGCAGACTTTGTGCCGCGGCTTCAAAGGGAAGAGCTTGAGCACCACCCAGCAGCGTATGCGTGGGTCCTAATGACGGCCTACATTTTGCCTAATGAGACAGTAATGCAGTCATTTGCGTATGCTAACAGTGCTAAACAATATGCGGCCTTCCTTCAGTGTAACTGTGCGGTACTCGGTCTCCGGCTTATCGGTTCTGCTGCCAAACACTGCGGCAGAAAGACTATATCCATGTTGGTACGTATAGTAGTATGAATGTAAACAGTCTTGCTCACAGAAACTGCATGACCAATGAGGGGGCATTTTCCATTTATCAGATCATAATTGGGTTTATGGGGACGGATGGATGGATAGATCTTCATATAGCATTCATAGCACCAAAAAGAAAATTGAAATGGCTGTAAATGAAAAAGGTGCCTCTTCTCTCCGCTGACCACACACAAGTGCGTAATTGGCTTCTTTCGCATGCTGCTGCCTCAGTACAATGGAAAGTTACTTGCTTAGTGAGCCCTCTCAGGGGTAAAATTGACCAGGAGAAGAACTTCTGTGGAGAAAAGGTTGGAGCTGGCGATCAGATCAGCACTTTGGTTGGTTAAAAAATATCTCCAAATGCTTGGTTTCGGGACTAGGTTTTAAAGAACCGTAAACTGCCTAATTTTTCTAGAATGTAATATATTGATAGAAACCCAGATGAATTCCATGGTTGGAATCATTTAAAGCACTTTTGGGGGGTGAACACATGTAAACTCATTCCAATATGCTAGCAGCATAGCACCCGTGCTAACAGGGACTCCGCTAAAAGGCTTCCTCTTAAACTTGCTGCCTGACTGCTCTGACAAACAGGGTGGTCTCTAGCTTCCCGGGAGAAGACAGCAACATCTCACAGTATATTCATCATTCACACAGACAACTGGGGGACAACTTCAGCCGCTAGACACTTACGCAACTCAACAAGGAAGCTTTCAGGTTGGGGGTGGAGGGGAGGGGGACGGCCTTCGGATCCTGTCAAGTGTGTCGCCAACTCAAAGATGGCAGCCGTGCACCGCCCGTCTCCGCCTCAAGGGGGCATTGTGTGATAAAATGGCAGAGGAGGTAATCCGAGGCATCCGAAACGAGGCCTTCCACGCCGGGGCCGTGCCGAGATGCGGGAAGGGGGCTCGCGTGCCGGAAAGCCGTATTGAAAAGGGGGGGCCGCCACCCCATTCATTCAGTGGCAGTCAACCCAGCGATGTCCTCATCCTGCCTCTTCAAGGCCTCAGTCAAGATGATCCAAAGAGTCGCCAAGCTGCCGCCTTCCCCGCAGAAACACGATTTAATTTCTTTATTCCATTCAGGAGGCTCCGCCGCTGTTTGTTCCCCACAGATTGATTGTGTGCCCAAGTGAGACTCTGCAACGCCTGGCCAGCACTGATAACCGGGACGACCAGAACCCGGCTCTGCGGCCCCATTCACACCCGAGTTCATTAATGACAAAGCCAAAGACGGGCCTCCTTCTCGGTTAATTGGCCCCGACTGTCTTTCAAAGTCAGGGAAAAAAAATAAACGTTATTTCCTACGCGCCTATAAATAAAAAATAAAAAAACTACGGCATTATCGATAGATCGCAGGATAGTGGATGAAAAAAGAGACCAGTGTAGAGTTAGGAGGAGAAAATGACAGACGTGGTTCATTTCGAACATTTTGATAAGACAGGAGGTTTGGGTGGAGGCGGCTAAAGCTCCAGCTTAAAAGAAGGTGTGGGGGCTGGAGGTGACAGGTGCCCGTCTGATATTAGACCCCCCCCTCCCCCATGTTCACTCTCTGTGCAGAGCCACATCAGATGCTGCGTAAGCATCCCAGAGGCAGCCGGTCTGACCGCTCCATCCTGAGCAATCAAGGAATAAAGAAATAAATAAACACAGGACAGGGGCTGTAATGAGCCGAAGAATATCGTTTACGTCTGTAAAACGGGATAAACACTGCTACACAATGGATTCCTGGGTGAAGATATTTTTGAGGGGAAAAAAATATTTGGAAATTTCTCAAAATTATGCATAAAGCAGTCAGTCTATGCCTGCATTTTCATTGCTAAATAAACAGTCAACTCATTTTAACTTGCCAGAAATGGCTGGTAGATTATGCTATTAAAATGAATCTATGTTTAAATGTATTACATAGCTAATGCTTTGCTCTGAAATGAAGCTTAGCTCCGTGAACGGGCGTGTATTCTGCTGATAGGGGATCAACCACTGTCTGAGATTGTAACTCTTCTTGCAGTGAAACCTCATAATGAGAATACAAAAAGTCCCCTCCCTGCTCTGTGTGGGGATCAGCCCCAAAATGCCCCACCCTAACCTATCACCTGTCCCAGCATGCCTTGGAAATTTACAGGCCCACGATGCATATGGTGAGCACTATGGTGACTGACAGACTCTCTGGCTGATGACCACTGTGGCCCAAGATCTGCAGGAAGCCCCTCCCCCATGGTCCGGATCCCATGCGAGGGGGTGGGGGGGCTGCCGCTGACCTCGTCCTTCTGTTTTCATCTGCTATCTCCATATGACTAGCCAAGGCCACGGACCTTTGGCATGGCCAGGAGCCTCACAGCCATCTTCACAGAGAACAGTGTTCATAGACAATCTACATTACCGCAGAGAATATACACCATTACATTACCGCAGAGAATATACATTTACCTCAGCACAGAGAAAATACACCATCTACATTGCCATATAAAATATACTGTACACCATCTACTTCAGCACACAGAACACACATAATCTACATTATATGCCATTTACAATCACACATTATACACATCTACATAACCGGAGACTATGTATACCATCTACATTACCACAGAGCATAAATATACACCATCTACAACCACACACATTACACACCACATTACCACACATAATATACATTATGCACTGTACATTACCACATAAATCTAGATCATGTACATTACAGACTAATGTGTTGACTACATTGAAAAAATACAAAGCAGTAGAGCCTGATAACACTTAATAATAAGTTTATTTAACTGAAAACACCACAGAGCAGAAAAGAACAAAACAAACCTGTCTCTCTCGACATACACCGCATATGCAAGGAAGGCTAGATGCAGGTACAGTGACATTACAAAAAAGACAGAGCTGCATGTAAATACCCCACACACACACACGGGACAGTATTGAAGTACTATATGTGCAGCAGGAAAACGGGTAGCAATATGCAAGATAAGCAACGCCGACGCGGGTGGCGTTCCTGCGCCCGCGGTATAAGTGGTTTTCGGCAGTCGATGCGCAATGACGCTGCATGCCGTAAACACTCAGAGTAATAAAAAAAACGAAACACCTGCCAATTAAAGAGTATCCCCGAACAGTAAAAGCTTAACACCTACCGATTAAAAGCCTCGTGTTTTTCTGCTTCTGACCGTTTTCTTGCTTGATAAGAGCGTTAAAAGCGAGGAACGCGAATACTATCTCAGTACCAGAACAGCATCCGGCGCAAACGTGTTACGTACCCTGCTTCTGTCCCTATGCTAAAATGTGCCATGAAACTCCATCAGCTGTTCTCCTATAGTGAATTTTGCCTCAAAAAGCTTTTGCTTTAAACTCATAATAAAGTTGGTCAGATGGGGATGCAGTCAGCTGCTGGAGGTCATACAAAAAGACTTTGAAAACAAACACTTCAAAATCACAGGGACATTATGGTTCTTCACAAGAACACACCCTGCCAGCTTTAAAACTCACATGGCGACAAGGACACACGCACGTGACTCGAGTTACATGTCCAGCAGTCATTTTTGAGCTCCCCGGTTCATTAACTAAATTATTGCCTTGTTGAGCAAACCGCAGACTATAATTTTACTCAGAAATCCCACAAGTCAGTCCAGGCTATAAAACAAATCCGGGGAGTGACTAAAACCAGGACAATACTGCAAGGGAACGACTGAACTCCTGTGCAAAATACGATCCTCATCTCTACAACCCAGAACTTCTCACGGTCACCTCACTCCAGTGCACTTTAACACCAAAGCATCTCCAAACTAATATAATAAAAGACCAGTAATCAAGAAATCCCACTGTTAATACAAGCTTAGCCAGCAATATATAACCTTAGCAAAGGCCAGTTCGTGATACGGAGTGATAAACGTTCACTTTTGTCCTCTTACAGAACACACGAAATGTCTACGAAATGTCCACGTTGACGTCCGGAACCCAACCAGAATATACGGGATTCTGTTGCTTGCATGACATTATACATTTAATTTTCAACCTATGGGTAAATCAAATAAAGTCCTTGAAGTATCCTTCTGGCAAATTAATCTCCATCCAGTGACATATTGCTTTACTTACTCATCCATTTAACAGCCCTTCTCCATGATCACTGTCCCGCTAATTGCTTTTTAACTCTCTTTGATTACAAGGTCAATTCTGAATGGCTAAAGAGGCCAGTCTTAAAGGACTCCACTTTCTTCTCCTTCCCAGTCTAAGCCCAGAGCATCACGCCGTGTTAAAGATTTTACTTTCATGACGCTATTCATCATCTTGACGCCAGAACATTAGACCGTTAACATACTTTGTCATGTGCCACCTGCACTGTGGAAAACTGAAGGAAAGTGCTACTTTTACATTTTTTCAGAGTTGCAAAATACTTTTCCATCTCTGTACACGTTGACTTGAATCTTTCCCAAATTAATGGATAATAATTAGATGCTCAGTTAGACATGTGACCAGCTAGTAGGCCTATTGTATTTTAAAGACAGCAGGAAGCGTGGTGGCAAAGACTGTGTGTGAGATAGCTGGTCGCTTTATCTTTAAGGAGGTGTAGAGACATGCTTTTTAGCTGTAACTGGGTTAGGGATTTAGCGTCTGCAACTAAACATTCAGATGTAAAAGGGGAAAAAATGTAGTTACTACATCCACGAGCTTTGAACTGCAAAAAAATTAATGACGATTAAATTATTAATAGATTGTCAGTATATGTGGTATTGATCCTAAGCGCATAAAATCCTCTAGATGTGATTTTAAACACCAAGAACATTTACACTCTGCCATCTTTCTTGGTGGGTTTGGCTACTAGATTATTTTGTTTGGTTCAGTTGGTTTTCCTGGTTCCTCTTCTGCCTCCATCAGATTTTATTGTACAGAGTAACTTTATTAGAAATTCAGATGTACTCATCTTTTCAGTCCTGTTTTTTAGTGTTGTGTGTGTTAT